ACACTCCAGCTGATACTCCAGCAGAGTCACCATCATCTTGCAAGCTAATGCGCTGCACGACGGCGAGCGTCCGCTCATGGTTGTGAGCATCTGCAAGCACTTCACTCGCTGTAACAGCTTATCTCAACTAGAAGGGGCGACCCAACCCACATCCATGATTGGATCCAAATTCCACTCCCAGTTGAGTTGTTTCGTTTGCCTGTTGGAAGCCTCTGAAGAATTCTGCAGCCGACCCCCTTCCCGCCCTGCCGAAAACTCAGAGTCGGGGGAGCAGCATGAACGACGACGGACTTCCGGTATCCCTGCACTGCTCAGATTGCATGTTTGCGCGTACTTTCATATGTCGTCCGCTGCCGTTATGTTCGCCCCACTCTGATGACTGGAAATACACCAACGACAAGTTTGTGAAAACGTGGTCAACTTTCAACTGCTTGAGGATGCATGTGTGGATTTAACGTCGGCAATGATTTTTAAGCTCCTCTGGGTGCGGAAGTCTTGCCTTGCACACGAAAAGCCCGTGGAAGCCATGCCAGACAACGACCGCATGTAGAGCTTCCTCCACTGCTTGAAAAAACCAGCCTGCAAAAGAAACGCCTCAGGCGTTGCTATGCTTCCAAAAGCTGCCATATCATCGCGAAAGCGCTGCCGGAACAGTCGGCATAACGATAGGAGAGAAACGTGGGGGGCGGTCTACATCGTCTACATGTGAAGTGTGGACTGCGCAAGGATCGAGGCTCAGAAGCCCATCCAGATATAGGCCCGCAGGCTGTCTTCCGCACAGATCTTGAAGGCCCTTTGAGCTCGCCGTTTGAGCCCAAATCCCTTGAACCCTCACACCCCCTAAAGCCCGAAACTACGGAGCTCCACCCGCGCTCCCCGTGATGTGGGCTGAGCAGCTTCCGTCGGCAGGCTGCTCATCCCCAACACAGACTCACACGCTGGAGAGGTTTGGGGTTTAGAGGTTTTCGATCTTTGGGTTTAAGTTTATGGCTTCGGGGTCGCCAAACCCTAAACCCACTCAAGTTAGGTGGAAGCACCAAAAAACCTCGCCTGAGTCGGGATCCTTGCTGGGGGCCTCAGACACCAGGCCTCTGAGGGTGCGCCTGGGCGGATGGGCTCACATGCAATGTCCGCGCGTGTGCACTAAAACTTCATATAGTGGAGTGGAGTGGAGTGGAGTGGAAGGCGACCAGGACAGAGTCCGGTCAGAAAAAAAGCGGTATCACCTCCGGCCCGAAAGCTTAAGGATCAAACCGCAAAAAAAACGAAAAGAGAGAGAGAGGGGCTTTTTAAGAAACAAAAACAAGGTCCGCGGCAAAGGTAGAAAAAACCGCAGAGGATGGCTCTGCAATGGAGCGGGGCAGCGCCAAAGGTAGAAGACCCGCAGAGGATGGCTCTGCAATGGCAGAAAGACCCGCAGAGGATGGCTCTGCAATGGAGTGGGGCGGCGCCAGCGGTCGAAGGACCCGCAGAGGATGGCTCTGCAATGGAGGCCGCGTCGGCAAAAAAAAACCGCTGACAGTCAGCAAAAAAAAAAACGCAGAGGATAGCTCTGCAATGGCAGAAGGACCCGCAGAGGATGGCTCTGCAATGTAGTGGGGCGGCGCCAGCGGTCGAAGGACCCGCAGAGGATGGCTCTGCAATGGAGGCCGCGTCGGCAAAAAAAATCCGCTGAGAGTCAGCAAAAAAAAAACCGCAGAGGATGGCTCTGCAATGGCAGAAGGACCCGCAGAGGATGGCTCTGCAATGTAGTGGGGCGGCGCCAGCGGTCGAAGGACCCGCAGAGGATGGCTCTGCAATGGAGGCCGCGTCGGCAAAAAAAAATCCGCTGAGAGTCAGCAAAAAAAAAAACCGCAGAGGATGGCTCTGCAATGGCAGAAGGACCCGCAGAGGATGGCTCTGCAATGTAGTGGGGCGGCGCCAGCGGTCGAAGGACCCGCAGAGGATGGCTCTGCAATGGAGGCCGCGTCGGCAAAAAAATCCGCTGAGAGTCAGCAAAAAAAAAACCGCAGAGGATGGCTCTGCAATGGCAGAAGGACCCGCAGAGGATGGCTCTGCAATGTAGTGGGGCGGCGCCAGCGGTAGAAGGACCCGCAGAGGATGGCTCTGCAATGGAGGCCGCGTAGGCAAAACAAATCCGCTGAGAGTCAGCAAAAAAGAACCGCAGAGGCTGGCTCTGCAATGGAAGAAGGACCCGCAGAGGATGGCTCTGCAATGGAGTGGGGCGGCGCCAGCGGTAGAAGGACCCGCAGAGGATGGCTCTGCAATGGAGGCCGCGTCGGCAAAAAAAAAACCGCTGACAGTCAGCAAAAAAAAAAACGCAGAGGATAGCTCTGCAATGGCAAAGGACCCGCAGAGGATGGCTCTGCATGTAGGGGGCGGCGCCAGCGGTAGAAGACCCGCAGAGGATGGCTCTGCAATGAGGCCACGTCGGCAAAAAAAAGAAAAACCGCTGAGAGGCGCAAAAAAAAAACCGCAGAGGATGGCTCTGCAGGCAGAAGGACCGCAGAGGATGGCTCTGCAATGTAGTGGGGCGGCGCCAGCGGTAGAAGGACCCGCAGAGGATGGCTCTGCAATGGAGGCCGCGTCGGCAAAAAAAACAAATCCGCTGAGAGTCAGCAAAAAAAAAAACCGCAGAGGATGGCTCTGCAATGGCAGAAGGACCCGCAGAGGATGGCTCTGCAATGTAGTGGGGCGGCGCCAGCGGTCGAAGGACCCGCAGAGGATGGCTCTGCAATGGAGGCCGCGTCGGCAAAAAAAACCGCTGAGAGTCAGCAAAAAAACAAAAAAAAAACGCAGAGGATGGCTCTGCAATGGCAGAAGGACCCGCAGAGGATGGCTCTGCAATGTAGTGGGGCGGCGCCAGCTGTAGAAGGACCCGCAGAGGATGGCTCTGCAATGGAGGCCGCGTCGGCAAAAAAAAACCGCTGAGAGTCAGCAAAAAAAAACCGCAGAGGCTGGCTCTGCAATGGAAGAAGGACCCGCAGAGGATGGCTCTGCAATGGAGTGGGGCGGCGCCAGCGGTAGAAGGACCCGCAGAGGATGGCTCTGCAATGGAGGCCGCGTCGGCAAAAAAAAAAAATCCGCTGAGAGTCAGCAAAAAAAACCGCAGAGGATGGCTCTGCAATGGCAGAAGGACCCGCAGAGGATGGCTCTGCAATGGAGTGGGGCGGCGCCAGCGGTAGAAGGACCCGCAGAGGATGGCTCTGCAATGGAGGCCGCGTCGGCAAAAAAAACCGCTGAGAGTCAGCAAAAAAAAAAACCCGCAGAGGATGGCTCTGCGTTGGCAGAAGGACCCGCAGAGGATGGCTCTGCAATGGAGTGTGGCGGCGCCAGCGGTCGAAGGACCCGCAGAGGATGGCTCTGCAATGGAGGCCGCGTCGGCAAAACAAATCCGCTGAGAGTCAGCACAAAAAAAAAACGCAGAGGATGGCTCTGCAATGGCAGAAGGACCCGCAGAGGATGGCTCTGCAATAGCAGAAGGACCCGCAGAGGATAGCTCTGCGGGGGCGCCAAACGTAAAAAAAAGAAACCGCAGAGGATGGCTCTGCAACGCAGGCCGCGTCAGCCAAACAAAAAGAAGAACCGCAGAGGATGGCTCTGCAATGGCAGAAGGACCCGCAGAGGATGGCTCTGCAATAGCAGAAGGACCCGCAGAGGATGGCTCTGCAATGGAGTGGGGCGGCGCCAGCGGTAGAAGGACCCGCAGAGGATGGCTCTGCAATGGAGGCCGCGTCGGGGGGAAAAAAAAAAAAAGGCAGAGGATTGCTCTGCAATGGAGGGCGCGGCGCCAAAGGTAGAAAGATCTGCGAAGGAGCGCGGCGCCAGGCGCAAACCGGTACTGTCGCCCCCAGTTGGCCCCCCTGAGTCGGCTGGTTGGGTGCTCATCGGTCTTCAACAAAGACCTTAGTACCGCCCCTGGGGTCCTCAACCAGCAGCTACCAACACAGGGAAGTTCCCCAACCAGGGCCCAGGGGACTTCATATAGTGGCCCCGTGAATGGCACTGAAATACATACCTGCTGAGACCTGCATTGCACGTGTTTTGCATGGTCTACGCGTCTGCATGTGTACAGACAGATGCAGTAGTGAGAAATCTAAAATCTCGGAGAAGCGCGGTGTCTTCGATCAGTGTCGCTGCATCCCTGGCGACACATGTGCAGCTCGCCGACACTGGACGACCTTGCAAGTCCCTAAACTGGCAGCACTCTTGGATAATCTTGGATACTACAGTGCTGCGCGACTTTTGCAAGCCTCAAAACTGCCAAAAGCTCCAGAAGCTTCACGTGACGGCTGGGGCTGAGGCACGAGCCGCTGCTCTCACCAAACCGGGCCTGAGCAAAGGGGATGTGGTGGGAACCTAGCTGCAGCTTTCGGAAGCTGTCGCACATGACCCTGCCAAGTGAATGCGGCCTCCAGCTGGGAGGCTGGAATGCCGGGCATGGGCCTGCCAGCTCACTCAACTCCTCTGAAGCAAGCAGTAGCGGACAGCGGCCTCTGGGCCGGACTGGCTCTTCATAAAAAGCACATTACGTGTCTATGTGTGTTGTTGAAGGTTTGTTAGGTTTACTGTGGGCCTCAGGTTTATAGAGTTTCGGCCGTAGGGCCTTCAAGTGGCTTCAAGGCTTCATGGCACAGAGTGCTTTGCATGCTTTGTTTGCCGGGCGCCAGACGCCTGGCCCATGGAGGCATCTACACGCAACTACACATCAAGAGAAAGCCCTGAAGCCGAGAGTCTCCACGAGAGCTGCAGGATGGGCCCTGGCACGTATGACTGTCTGACCTCATGATGTACGGCGCGCTGGAAAGCACAGGCGCGTGCGGACTGCGGACTGTTTTTTTGCCGAGCCCGACTGCGTTCTTCTTCAAACCTTTGCAGGACCCCAGCGGTTTGGTGAAGAGCGGCGGGTCTCTCAAGCCCATGATCTCCAGGTCGCACTTCTAGCAATACACACACGCAAAGAGCCCAAGCTCCAGGAACCTAGGAACGAAGAGTGGCCTTTATGCAGCTTCTGCTGCTCCCTGCTGTCTCTGGTGCAGGTCGTGTATGTGTTCCTCGACAGTATGGCGTGTAACGAAGCGCCAAACATGAACCTCGCTCCGCATCTGACCAACGCGCCTGACTCGAGCAAGTGCCTGCTTCTCATATGCCACTGCTGTGCTCAGTGTGTCTGCATTCATGGGATGCACAAAGAAGACGTGGCTTGCTTCAGTGAGGTTCGTCCCCGACGCCACATTGTCCAAGGAAAGCAAGAGCACAAAGCAGTCGGGAGCTGTGCAGAATCTTTTCATGATGGTGGACATCTCTCGACCTTTGTTCCTGCCGCGCGGTAGCCGCTCGGCAGGAAGTTGGTGAGTCTGCAGCGCGGCTGCCACTCTGTCCTCCAGCTCCTGCCATTGCACGAAGACGATGGCTTTGGCAGTAGGATCATCGGCTCGGATGTTCCTGAGGCATTGTGCGATGGCATGTAGCTTGGACCCATGCTTGCGTAGCTCAGGCGTTAGCTGTTCAAGTCTGCGCTCGGGCTCTGGGGCCTCTTGCAGTTCAAGCAAAACCGAAGACATCGTGCGACCAGATGCCTGCTGGCGGCACTGCGGACAGCGGCCCTGCTGCTGCAAGGCACGGACCACGCAAGATCGGTGGAAGACATGTGAGCACTGCAACATGACAAGATCTGCCAGGGCATCTGCGGAACCGAGGCAGATCGAGCAAGTGTAGTCTTTAAGCTCTTCCGTATCTGAGATGCCTCGCAGCTGCCATGTGTAGAAGTCGAGGCTTCGATGTGCCGAATCTAGGAGCCCTGCCAGCGTCTGAAAGCCACTTGTGAAAGCCTTGTTGAGATTTTGGAGCACGTTGCGACCACATGTGAGCGAACAAGTTGCCATTTCGGAAAGAATCTCATCTGACCCCGCAGCTGGCTTAGCTCGTACAACAGAATGAAGTACGACATGGCGATCTGCCTGTCTCGTGTAGACCTCTGTATCACGCACGGGCTGCTTCAGGCGCACGTCTATCCGTAGGCGAATTTCACCGTGCTGGTCCAGCATGTCGATGCACGTTTCAAGGCATTGCCGACTTGGGTCTTTGGACATCCAATCTTCGGCAGTGCACCTGGAGAGCCTGGTCATGAACTCCTTGGCCTCAGCATGTTGGAGGTCCACTGTCAGGGCTCTTTGTGCATCCGGCCAGCATGACCTTGGCGGACCCAGCCTAGACATCAGATTCGCGTAGCCGGACATGCCACTTTACTACTCTGTACGACATGATGCTGCTGACGCGGAACAAGAAAGATGCCCGGGAGGCCTCAATTTCCAGCTGACGGCACAAGTCCTGGATACGGGCACGCTTGCTGGTGCCGAGCAAGCGCACAGCCGCCGCTGCATCCTCGAAAGATGCGCAAGAGTCAAGCGCGACTACACAAGTGCCACCCCATGCAGGTCCTCAGCATTCATGTCGAGGCAGAAGTGAGCACAGCGCTGTAGAAGTTGCATTCGCACCTCCGCACTGACCTCCCCATAGCCTGCCTGCAAGATTTCAGGTTGGCAGGTGTGGAGTGTGAGCAGTGGAGCGTGAGCTGTGGGGCGCGGGCGCTGGGTGCGGGGCGCGGGGCGCGGGGCGCGGGGCGCGGGGCGCGGGGCGCAGAGCGCGGGACGTGGGGCGCGGGGCGCGGGGTGCGGGGTGCGGGGTGCGGGCTGGGATGGGGTGCCTGTGCAACACAGAAGTTGGAGTCTAGTGGCGGCCTAGGCAACTTCACCTCACGTCCTCAATGCTGGACCTTTGCATGCAGCCGTGCAAGGCATCCCTGAAAATGCCACGGCCCTGCGCACCTCCAAATCGAAGACAAAGTGGTCGTGGCAAGCTTGCCGATAAATCAGTCGCTCTTCCGCCGTGTGCTCCACGAACTCATGGTGCTCTCTGATGGCAATAGCCTCAGCAAGGCTGGAAGAGCTCTGCCGGACGAAGCCATGGATCATGACCTGGCATTCCTCACGCAGCTTTTGCTGCGCTGCCTCCGCCTTCAAGTTCTTTGACAGACGGTTTTCTAAAGCCAAAGCCATGGTAGGAGAAGCCTCTTTGCGGACATAGTTCAGGAGCTCAGCAACTTCCATGATGGACTCCGTGTTACTCAAAGGCGGCGTGCCCGAGAGGCCCCAGCGGTAGGTGGCCCCTATCGACTTCAGCACCTCGCGTGTCGACATCTTCCAGGATTCCGTCTCGTGAAACTCGTCAAGCACCATCCGACGCCACCAGATGGCTTCAAACAGAACCGGTGCAGAGCAAAGAGCCGCTTGCAAGAGACTTTTGTCGTGCCACTTTTCAACACAATCGTGCAAGGCTCTCTGCTTCTCAGCCATGATCATGCCTGTTGCTGGGTCTTCAGGCTGCCACATCTCCAGCGTCTCCCTCACGTCAGCCAGGTGCCTCATTGAACCCAACAAGCCAGTCGATGCAATCACCACATTGAAGTGCTCGCACAGGCATCCCAAGCGAAGTCGCTTCACATCGGTTGTGGACTCAATCGTGAGGATCTTCAAGCTCCCAATGCCCTTCACTGGCTCCGTGCGAGATCGGCCGGGCTTCTCACGAATGACGTGCACCTTCACCTTGCGGCCTTGCAGGCAGAGCCGATTCAGCATGTCCCTGGGGTTGTAATAGGCATTGTGGATGTCGGGGGCAGAGCCCTCCAATCTGTATGAGCCGATGAGCAGGTCCCCTGGCGCAGATCGAACCTGCATCGCCTCGATTTTGTCTCCAACTTGCAACTTTCTCTCTGGCTTGAGGCTCTGATGTTGGCGCTGCAACTCAGAGCTGATTTCGGACACAATCCACTCCCGCCCGGAACCAACCAGCCGAAAAGGGCACTCGTCCGCGGTCAGCGTGATGGGATCCAGTGCAGGGCGGTAAGGACCCTTCGGCTTTGCAGTGCGACAGAGCTGCACCCCTTCCTCGCCGAGGAATTTCCAAAACTCGTCCTCCCACTGCTGGACAAGGTGCGGAGGGCACATGATGAGAGTTGCAGAGTTTTTGATGTAGCCGCGTGGCCTCTCGCCGCAATCCGCCGCCTGCGCCCTTTGCTGCTCCTCCGCGAGAAGCCCTATGGTTGTGGCGGTCTTGCCATACCCCATCTTGTCAGCAAGCAGCCCACCCTTCAGGCCCTCACTTCGTGCCTCCTGCCCGTACATCCAAGCCAGGGAGCGCAGCTGCTCTTCTCTCAGCGGAAATCTCTTGAAGGCGGTAGGGTTGCTGGCTGCCGGACCGGCATTCCCCACCAGCTGAAACCCTCGCCGGTCTTCGTGACGTGGCCGTTTCGCAGCAGGAAGGGCCCAAAGTTCAGGGTCCTCCACCTGCTGAGGTTGCTGACTTGCCGCCTCGGGGAGGGCCTCCCTGAGCGAGCATGGCGAGCGTTCCTGCGAGCCCTGCAGGCCCTGGTCAGATTGGGAGGGTTTTGACCCTTCCGCCGTTTCCGCTGTGTCTGAGGCCACCTCGGCCTCGCCGAAAGTGATGGACTCCAGCTTTCGCAGGCGCTGAGGCAGCGCACCCGGGGCCTCGGCCCCGAAGCATATCTCCTCAAGCCTCCGCAGTCGCGACACCAAGCCCTCCCCATCCCCAGAGATTGTCTCCAGGAACACCTGCTCGAGCCGGGCAAGGCGGTCCATCAAAGTGGTCATGGCACCCAGGATCAAGTCTGCTGCGTGCTCTGAAGTTGCTTGATGCTGCAAAGTGGGGTCTAGCTGCACTGAGATCCGCAACTCTAATGCGCGCCACGCCAATCGCTTCAAGGCTAGTTTGTGCTTCTGCCTTGTGCCTCGAGCCTGTGTGCTGCAGCAGGGGCGACAGTTCCAAGCCGTCTCGTCAGTTCACTGGCCGCAAGGGGGAAACATAAGGTTTCACGACTCAGCTCACTGCAGGGAAGCATGATCATGGTAACCATGGTGATCATGGTGATCATGGTGATCATGGTGATCATGATGATCATGAGATCATCATGATGATCATGATGGACGTTGCTCAGGCGGAGGAGGAGGAGGAGGAGAAGGAGAGCTATCATGATGGTTGGTATTGTCATGCTTATGACTTTGCACACCATCGTTCCACTGCCACAGGCACAGAATTGCATGCAAAAGCCTTGCACGCAGAAGCCCTGAAGACCTGGAGGCTTCACATGTTGTGTGCCGCTGAGCTCAGGCCATCACGTACCCCGATCGCCTGGAGACTGGTCAAAGTTTGGGTTTACAAGGGTTCCGCTCCCATTTGAGCTCGTATCTCACTTGAACAACCTGGGATCGACAACTTCGTCACGTAAAGGACTTTTCAACACGCTAATATGAATATTGCAAGTTGTCCATCAAAGGGCCCGAAGCAAAGCGAGCTGAGAGATGTGTTCGCATGAGGACGTCCTTCCCCCCGGGTCCAAGGCCAACCCCACCAATGCACATCTGCAAGTATGGTCCGTATCACTTAGTGATACAGATCTTGGCGCATCTCGTTGGCTTCCCGATGCTTCTTGCTCTATCCCATCGCGAAGAGTCACTCAATCAATTCAACTAGTATCCTGAGGTTCATTTGTTGGTTTGGGGCGCCCTTGGGGTTGGGAGCATTGAGGCTACAATCAAAGGCCCCTGTTTAGATCAACAGCTATATTTTGCAGCTCTGAGGGCCAAGCATAAGAGCCTGTCCAAGGGATCATCGACAGCTGGTAGGCAATCCTGAAATTCAGGGCCATGTCAATTACCATGTACTCCTACTTCAGCCAACAGGTGAACTGGACGGGCCTGTGCATCAGAAAGCTGTTCGAGGCCGCGCGACAGAAGGCAAGCATGTTCTCTGCTGCGCCTGCCCTGCCTCAAGCCCCTCGAATGCGAGGCCATTGCCCAGAATCCGGATAACCTCTCTGACTAGTTCACCCGAGTCTTCGTGTTGTTCCACCACATGCTCTTGGTAGCAGAGACTAGGTGGATCTACGCCATGTCTTGACACCGGCAGCTTCAGTACAAACATCTGCAAACTCAGTGCTGAAGACGTCGGCTGTCCTGACTGTGGAGCGCATGGAAGATGGTGTGAGTGAGGCCTTTTCGCCAGAGACGCAAACAACGATGAGGGCAGCAATGATATGAGTCTGGAAAAACTAAAGGACACACTGGCATCTGGCGCAGACAGCCAGATACTTCAAAGATCCCTCTTTGAGGCAGCTTTGAGGAAATCCAGTTTCAGCCGCTGGCTGGATGTGGATGCTTCAGCCAACTTTCAGGCATTCGTTTTGAAGATGCCCTTCATGCGGCTCGTCATTCTTCAACTCACCACTATGCAAACTGATTGCAGTAGTGATTGGGCCACGGCGCATTAAGAATCCTCTCGTTCATAGTGACTGTGGTCATATACTCCCACGTACCCGAATCAGTGATGGATTCTATGCCGTTCGACGGATTGTAGCCAGCTTGGTCCCGAATGTCCTCCAGCAATGTGTTGACTGCGCCCAGAACCCGGAGTGGCTTGAGCGTCTTTGGAATATTTTTCAGGCAGAGAACGAAAGTGATGTCTTGCCCAGACGCAACCAAGTTCATGTAGATGTTGTTGTAGTAGGGCATACCAAACCTCTCCTTCAGGACGTTAGAAATTGGGGTCCAGATCTCATCCGCCGAAGACCACGCTGCATAATCTGTTGGCACAATATGGTATTCGCCTCGCATGGCCAAGCAGTCGTAGTCGGGTCCACTGCATAAGTCTCTCGAGGCACAGTTGTAGTCAGGGTGCTCAGTGTTGAAGATGTATTCCCACGTGTCGCAAGTTACTACCAAATCGGCTGCTGCATCACAGGCATCTTCCTGAACAGATCCTGGCCACTGTTTGTCACATTTTTCCGACATCCAAGACCACACACAAACATCCGGCCGCGAAGGCGTCTCACACCCAGATGCCGGCCGGAACCGTGGACACTGAGGAGGAGGCTGTGTGTTTCCATATGAAATGTTCTTCTCTTTCAACATCTCGCCAAGGCTGGTGGGCAGGGTCACGCACGCTCTCTCCTTCAAAAGGTTATCTTTGTCTTGAGGCTCCAGAATCTGGCCAGCCGTGCACTGTGTGACTCCACTATTGCTGTTGAATTGGGGGTGACTTCCGAAGGCAAACTTCAAGACCTCCTTGTCCCTGAACACATAGTCAGCCGCTTGAGTTGCCGACGTGCCGCTTGTCACGCTGCAGTTGTTCTTCACCCCGTAGTGCAGCTGCAGGTAGGTGTCATAAGTGCCGCCACATTCGTGTGTCTCACCTTAGGAAGCTGGAGCTGCTGCATCTCCAGGCTTCCGTGGCCCAGGCTTAGACTTTGGCCTAACAAGAGCTGAGGCCGAGACAGGTGCTCACCCAGGCTTCTTGTCCATACGCGGCCGGCTTCAAGATCACCGAGGAGTTTCCACTGGCGTAGTGGAAGTCATAGCTGAAGTCCTCCCAACGCAGGAAACCCCAAGGTCTTATGGGAAACTGAGCCGTTCTTCACTGATGCAAGGCATGGCACTCTTGGCCAGACATCTCCCTGCAACGTGCGCACAGACACAGACACAGACACACACACACACACACACACACACACACACACACACAGACACACACACACACACACACACACAGAGACAGACACACAGACACACAGACACACAGACACACAGACACACAGACACACAGACACACAGACACACACACACACACACACACACACAAACACACAGACACACAGACACACAGACACGCAGACACACAGACACACAGACACACAGACACACAGACACACAGACACACAGACACACAGACACACAGACACACAGACACACAGACACACACACACACAGACCCAGACACACCACACACACACACAAAGACCCAGACACACACACACACACACACCACACACACAGACCCACACACACACACACACACACACACACAGACAGACACGAACGCAGACACACACACACACACACACACACACGGACAGAGACACACACACGGACAGAGACACGCAGAGACACACACACACAGAGACACACACTCAGACACACAGAGACACACAGAGACACACAGAGACACACAGAGACACACAGAGACACACAGCGACACACAGCGACACAGAGACACACAGAGACACACAGAGACACACAGAGACACGCGCGCGCACACACACACACACACACCAACTCTCTAAGACAGCGATTTCATGCTGCCGTTTGTGCCTCCTACTAGTGCCATTTTTACAGCATAGTTGCCAAGCATGTGCAGTCTCATATGTCAACGCGGCCGACATCGGTCAAGGTGATTCCCTCGATTCTTCTGCTGCACAATGCCATATTTTGATGAGACGCTGCTCCAAACACAATCGCCTGGCAAGTCTGTCCAAACAACCAAGGTGTGACTGGTGCAGCCGCAGTGCAGCCTGAGAAGACTGGCGCTGCATTCTTCAACAACTCATCGTGCTGGAGGAACTAGTCATGCTGGTGCAACGAATCATGATGGCACCACCACACTATCGCGCAGATGAAAAAAAACACCGAACATGATCTACTTTTCTTTCGCGCAATGAAAAAAAACACCAAACATGATCTACTTTTCTTTTACTTTTCTTCCGGGTGGAGAATGCCTTCAGTCTGTGCTCTGTGCCTTTGCTGAGATGTGGGGTGACAAAAACCACCGAGTCGGGAATGTGGCAAACAAGCTCCAAAATCGCTTTACTTCGGAAACGAGTCTTGCACTTGCAGATACAAGATACTGACTACTCTTAGGTTTGCCCTTTGCGCCGCCCTCAGAAGTAGGAGCCGGTTGTAAATGGTGCTGACTACTATCTTGCTGCGGTCTTACTTCGTCGTGCCGCAGCTACCGTCCTGGAACCCACCGCACAAAGCCATTGCGGCACCTCTGACGTTGTGGTCGAAGGGCCACACCCACACCAGCAAGGAAACGGCCACCAGCCCTGTCAGGCAAAAGACTGCGCAGCTATCTACTGGAGACACTGTGGAGACTACCCAAATCGGGGCCTCCAGTGATGCCGTAGCGCACGAAGTCCTTGATAGGCAGCATCCGCTCGACGTTTCTCTTCCCGCACGACAAGGGCTCGATTTTGGGAAGTATCGACCGAAGACGCTCTGTCAAGAGAACGTCAGCCACCAGCTCATCCACGTCCATCACGAAGGCCAAGGCCACAGCGTTCAGGACAATGTCCGACAGGTTGACTGTCTGCGCAAGATAAATGCACCCAATAACTCCCAACCAGCCCATGACCAGAAGCCTTGGAAGGATGAGAAAGACCAGCGCCATGATTCTTTGGAATGGCCGCATGCCAAGTATCTTAATGTTGCCATCTGGATCCCTGACCAGGAACTCATCACCGTGGGAGAGGCTTGGAAGATGTATCACAGCCATGGCCTGTTCCACACAACGTCGGTACTCGACCATGATGGTGAACACCCACAGGATAATGGCCAGCGCGCTGAGGATGTAGCCTCGCTGGGTCTGTCAAATAGCTTGGTGGCTTGGGGCCTGGCAGGTGTCACATGGGGGAAATACGAAAACATAAAGGCTCTGCACAAACATGAATATGCTTTCTCCGGAACCTGGAACAGGCATGTACAAATAGGCGTACATCAACTTGAACTCCTCCTGTTCGAAAGACCATAACTCTTGATTGCAAAGTCGTCTGAGAAGACTCTCGCCCGAGGCACCATCGAACGCACTCGATGGGTGCGCGTTCTGCACACGCCACCTCAGCATCTCTTCCACAGTGCCTATGGTGAAGGGGCTGTCCAGCATGTCGAAGGCGACTGTGAATACCAAGGCCAGCTGCAACAGCAAGTTCAGGAGACAGCCGCAGCACAAAATAATCCTGTCTGTGACGTTCGACACATTAAAGAACAGCAGCAGGGCTGCATCTCACATAGATTGATCGAACTCATACAGTGCATTGCTGTTGTTCTCATTACATTCTTCCGGCACTTCCGCAACTGCCACCTCAACGCAGGGCTTAATACCCTCAATGGCCGTCGATGCGCTGTGTCCGGCGCCCTGCTGCAAGACTTGCTTCAAGCATTGCTCCAATTCGCGTATGCGCTGCTCGTGGGACTGGACCATCTCCGCCAAGGACCCATTCGCATTGTCCCCCTGAGGCGAAACAGCCATGTGAGGTCAAGGCTGGGCTCTCTCGCTCTCGCGCTCTCTCGCGCTCTCTCGCGCTCTCTCTTCTTCTACCCAGCGAAGAGGCCCTCCCCAGTCTCTCTCTCTCTCTCTCTCTGTTTCTCTTCTTCTTCTACTTCTACCCAGCGGAGAGGACCCCCCAGGGGGGAGCCCCCGGCCACTACGGCCCGCTGCTCGGTTCTCTGTTTCTCTCTCTCTCTCTCTTCTCTCTCTCTTCTCTCTCTCTTCTCTCTCTCTTCTCTCTCTCTTCTCTCTCTCTTCTCTCTCTCTTCTCTCTCTCTCTCTCTCTCTCTCTCTCTCTGTTTCTCTCTCTCTCAATATATATATATATATATATATATATATATATATATATACATCTATTTTTTAGTTTTTTTATTTACTGTTTATCTTTTACCTTATTTACATATATATATATATGTATATATATGTCTAGATAGATATAGATATAAATATAGAGAGATACGTATATAATCACAATATGCATACCTACACTTGGGGATTGAAGCACATGTGCAAGCGTTCGATGCGCCCAAGAAAACACCCATCTTTGCAAAAAGACTGCCTGACGCTTAGAAGGCAGGGAAATCTTGCACCACGAAACAATCAGCAAGAGCAACGGTTTACGGTTTAGGGTTTAGGGTTTAGGGTTTAGGGTTTAGGGTTTAGGGTTTAGGGTTTAGGGCTTCGGGTGTAGGGTTCAGGATTTAGGGTTGGGGGTTTAGGGCCGTGGGTTTGAGAGCGGCAAGAGGTGCATCATTGACTGTCGTTTGAGCTTGCACACTGCTTTCCCGTTCCTCCTCGGGCATGTCCCCGCCAGGCTGGTCCAGCTTGGACATAGGCATGGCAGCGACTGGAAGCCGTTAGTGGTTGAGCAGCCTAGATGCCTGAAAACGGCTGTTGCACCGTGCTGCTGCTCCTTCACCCCAGAAACGCCACAAGCTGCTTTGCGATGCTGCAATGTAATCAATCAAAGATGCTTGCAAATGGAGGCAGCTGCATGGACACGCAATCCTCCGAAAAGACAATCGGCGCATTAACCTTTGCCCAGGGCAGGATGGATTTCTTGCATTTCTCGGCCCTCCCCGAACGACCTTCCCGAGCACGAGCAGGGCTTATTTTTCTGGTCAGCCAGCAGTCCGCCGCCGGGAACTTTCTCCACGTCAGGCACACAAGTCCGACATTTCGGAGACTTACCATCACTGTTCGCATGATTGCAATCCATGCTGGCTCAGCCATGCATGTAGGCATTTAGAAGGCATGTGACAGGTCGTCGACTGCATGACAGGCCGTACGACAAGGGGAGCAACCGCTAAGAAAGAAGATGTTTCTGGGGTGGCCCGTGCGTTCATGCTGCTGAACTTAAACTGCCTGACTGTCCTGGGAGCAGGACCACAACACCGGTCTCTGCTAAACACAGTACTGCCTTTCAGGGTTGATGAATCCAAAACGCATCAATGCAGAACATGCATCACATACATCTTCTAGTACATATACATATATACACACATTTGTGGATGTGTGCATATACATGTATATACACTGATATTTGTGGATGTATGTGTCAGGCAAGACAATTTGCGAAGGCACAAACCCGTATATAGGGCCACTAGGGATATGGCACCCGGACATCAAAAAAGCTATCATGACAAACGAAATACTCAGAAGTTGCTCCGATGCACCTCAGCCCCTAAGCCCCTAAACCCTAAGCCCTAAACCCTAAACGCCCGGGACAGTTTCGATGTCCAATAATGCAGCCCGGGCCAAGGGGCGCCAGGATGTTGAGCCGCTTCGGCTCCATGTTCAGCCGACTCGCTCACTTCGTGAGTCGACTTCGGGGCTTAGGAGGGCTTAGGGTTTAGGGTTCAGGGTTCAGGGTTTAGGGTTTAGGGTTTAGGGTTGGGGGTTTAGGGTTTAGGGCTTAGGGCTTAGGGCTTAGGGCTTGGGGTTTACAGTCGGGTGCCTGCCGTAGGGCCCTCCCGGAGCTTCAATCCTGAAGACTCTTCTCCAAGCGCTTGAGCCACCGGGGCCCAGCAAACAAATAGCCCACGATGCAGGCTTCGGCACCTTAGTGAGACGCTGATCAATGTCGAGTCCAGGGCTTGGGGCCTTTGTGTTTCGGGCTTTCGAGCTCCCACAATATGCGCGTCCCACTTCTCGAGCTGCATACACAACCAACACAGGTTCCATGCAGCACTAGAATTGCAAGGAACCCTGCTAAGCTGAAAGCATCACCTGACTGACCCGCGATGGAGACATGGGCTGAAAAACACTGCTCAAGGGACTCAAGGTGGAACCCTTACAAGAATTATACGGAAAAGATTGAAGGCCCCTTCTAAGGGTCCCTTCTACCCCTTCAACTGCTAATGTGGACATTCGACTACACTGTGTTTTTGGTATGATGAGAACCTTCGCTCATTTCCCGCCCGATATCTGGGGAATAGTCAGGGTTTAGGGTTTGGGATTCAGGGTTTAGGCTATCTTCGCTTGTGCCTGTGAACCAACCCACATGACAGCCAAACAGTGCGGCGAAGCCACAAAAAGCAGGCAACGGGAGCAGCTCGTCTTTCTCCTCAGCGATGACATCGGTGGATAGCCCTACAACCCAAGCCCACCCAAACCCATGTTCTCCCATGTTCTTCAAACTCCCAAGCGTCGGAGAAGTAGAAGCAAACGTCAACCAAGCTGGACATCAGCACGACCATCAGCACCTGAAGAGGCTGTGGTACCGTTGATGTTACCTACAACCTAACAACTACAGCTCATGACAAGACCCCCCCTTGTTCGGGGTTCAGGGTGCTTCTGGGCCTTTGGACCATGAACACATCTTGGCTGCATCCAAGTCCTTGTGCCGCCTCCTCTCAAAATCTCGTATGGGTCAAAGCTTTAAGAGGATGACGACTCGGGAAACGTACTGATTGATGCCCCTCCATGGCCCGCCATGGCTCTTGGACCCTACCACATCAAAGGCACGGCAATGGGGGCAGAGACCATCGCCAGAAGAAGGCGTGAGAAGCCACGGCGCTTCAAGAGCACGCCTGCCTTCCACGGCTGGCAAGTGTTTAGCAAAGGGGGTGCATGGGGCAACGTCGGTTTATCTTGCTCGTTGTCTGGCATTCCCCGCAGAATCGTGGCAAGTTACAGTCTCAAACGCCACATGCCACTTGGAAGGGTACGTTTTACCCCAATTCTCACTGTGCTTATACCCTGCTTGGAGGAAGTAGGGGGCTTAACAGTACAGCTATACTTAGGGTTATAAGTACCCATGAACCTCCAAGCCGCAGCCTCTGAACCCTGAACTCACAACCCTCCAGCAGCCTTCGCTAAGACCAAAACGCACCAGGCAGCGAAGAGAAGCACGACACTGTGCTTGGCGATGGTGACAAATTCACGGATTAACATCCTTCAGGGGGATGGGGGTTTACAGCTCAGATTTTTTTGGGGCTTAGGGAACCCTGAACTTTCAAGGATGTCCCTGCAATCATCTGTCGAAGGTATTACGGGTGTTACTCGAACCCTAGCTGGACTAAACTCTGCGAAGCATCTTACAGCATACTTTGTCAGCCATGACTGGAACCCACGACCTCAACGTCGGGACATGGCTGAAGCTTCTTCAGTTTGAAGGGCTTTTAGCTTAGGAGCGAAGAGGAGCGAAACCTGCCAAGAGTCAAGAGCCCTCTCTCACGGACATTTCTCACTTCCGAAAGCTCCAAGTCGGAAAAACGTCCAGGTTTGGGGCTCTCGGGCTTAAGGCTTCGGGTTTAGGGTTTAGGGTTTAGGCTCCAAGAACAACCTTTGTAAAACTTAAGCCATACATCCTAACCATGAGGCTCGTGGCCCCGACGCGGCCACACTGGGAAGGGCACCATGCTGCAAAACGTTTCATCGCCAAGATGCCCACCCATAATTTAGAGCGGCACAGCTGTGCAGCCTGACATCCCCCGTCTCTACGTGCTGCCGTTCTGCAAACACCCCCCTGGGCACGCGCAGCAGGAGTATGGAAGGTCACAGTCACAGTAGTGTCACAATATTCACAATATACTACATACGCTTGCGGTATGCTACGCCCTTTCTCCCCGGCCTCTTTAGACTGTGTACGAGCCCGCCTGAGCTGCTCGTCTACGTAGTCGAAGTCGTAGACGTCCCACTCGAAAACGAGGGTTGGCGAATACCAAGGCAACAGGCACACCGAGGGAGAAGCTACCATGCCTCGGCTGACATCATAGGGCCCAAGCAAGCTGAATTGGGGTTAAGGGGGGCATACTGTAGTACTTGATGATGTATACGATGTATACAATGTATTCTATTGGGTGCCGATGCTCTGGTAGGAAAACCTCCATGTGCTCTGCCCCTGAAATTTTCAAAACTTCTATGTCCTTTTATACTTTTCGAGCACGCTCGTCTCCTCCACCAAAGATTGAAACCAGTCTACGCCCTAATTTAAAAAAATCATGCGATTGAAGTATGTGCTTTTAGGGTTATTCTACAGGGGGCCCCACCCCCACAGCCTTTTGTGTTTAAGCCATAATGTGACTTTGTGTTTAGAACAGTAGGCCACTAACAGATTCAACAAACACGTGAATCCTGTCCAAACCTGTCATACAAGTATCATGAAAAGACCGCTCCTCCCCCCCCCCTCTACTCGTCTCGTTTTCTTTCCATCATGCCATCAAAAGGACTTGACTCGAAAAGACATAGGAATTGGAAAATCCCCAAACTCTGCGATTGGAAAGTTGACCAGGATTTACAGTTTCCATTTTGAGATTAGGTGCTTGTTGTTCGCGCGTTTTGTATTGGGATTTCCCTGTGATTGAAACGGTGTTTTGTATTTCTGGTTTTGACTCCTTCAAACGTTCTATCGGTGGCGGGGTTTTCATTGAACAGAGCGGCCCTGCTTCTTTCCTTCCCTCCCTTCCCTTCCCTTCCCCTCCCTTCCCCTCCTCAATAACAATGGAAGGCAGAAAGTGGCACGCGACATGCGGCAAGCACAAAGTCAGAGAAGGCAAGAAGCGCGAACCCTCGCACAGCAGCGTCAAAAACTTGTAATGTGATCTCCGCAATGGCCCTGATACTGATGATGGGCTCAAGAATTCAAGCAACCGTGCGAAGCTATGCCTTACGATCTCTCAGTCGATGTTCTTTACGCAGGACCCCACCCCCCCAAGCTGAGCAGAAGCTGTACGCACACTTGTACTCACGTGTCACCCACCAAGAAATCCTCCACAAGGCTACTTACAGGGTATCCGATCCATTGCCTCCTTGCACAACATGGTTAGACTGAAACCGCAAACTTCCCAATCACTAAACCCTCACCATAAAACTTCTCAAGCAGATGCAGGCACAGACCAGGAGGTCGAATGGCAGCATAAAATCCGAACCCAGAAGCGTCTGCACTCTTTCACGCAACCTGCAAGCGCAAGGTCATGCAGGTCTGGCATTTCCCTAACGAAGGCTCGTTGTCAAGTACTCCTTTTGGTAGCCCGCATCCCGAAACACGAATTCTTGTTCGAAACGGAAGCGATACAGCACCAGCCAAGTTGGCGATTCGCAACCGGAAGGGAAACAGAACGATCCATGACTAACAACCCAACGGACCGTTGTGCACCGGAGGTGGCTAATCAACAGACGTCAACGGGACCCTCCGACCCTGACGTGATTGCCTGTTTTTTTGCTGCGATATGGCGACGATCATCGAATTTCCACGACTCGGCCCACAAGGTGCAACATTTATTGCCCTCTAGCTGTCCGAAACCTATATCAACACATCCTCACTGCTGCGCTTAGTTGTGCTTTACCCCGTTTCTCACGTTGCTATCCAACACATCCCACATTCTCACTGGGAACTCCAAGTACAACATTCGTGATGCCTACGAGCACCATCCGCTTGCAGCGCTCATCATACCACCGTAAACCCTACACACCCTAACCCCTGCACATCCTAAACCCTGAACAGCACTGAAACCCCAAACCCTAAACTCAGCCTCGCTTTCATAAGCCCTAGACCTTCAGGAGCTCCTTGGAGTCTTGGAACTCCCAGACGGGCAGGGTTTAGGGTTTGTTTTTTTAAGGGCTTAGGGTATAGGGTGTAGGGTGTAGGGCGTAGGGTGTGGGATCAAGCCGTGCCTTGTTTGAACCAACTTGTCGAAGGCATCCAAGTGAGGATCATCTCCTGGGGGCAAGCCCGGGCTGCCACTGGGAGCCACGATCTAAGGGTCTACGAGCTTGCATAGGCTTTGGGAATCTTTGGGGCATACACTGTGCTTGTCAAGAAGGACTGCAGGAGGATTGTGTTGGTAACTCATCAGGTGAGGGGTTCAGTGCGCATTGGGACGCGTAGGGCGAACGAAGAAGCGCCAGATTCAGGAGGACGAGGAAAAATGCCGACTGCTGCTCGATGTGGTCGAGTATGTGCCGGCCCAAACACGCGCCAAGCTCACTGTGGAACAGGCTGCAGACATGTGAAGCCACATACACACAAAGAGGCCAGTTTGCCATTTACCATGCTGAATGGAAAGTAGCTTGGCGAAACCACCCATGGCTCCAGATTGGTGCCGAGGGACTGTGCAGGTCCGGAGGCATGCTCAAGAGGTGCCGCTCCGTTGCGAGTGGCCAGCTATGCCGCCATGCAGACGCCCTTTTTATCGTGCGTACTCCAAGAAAGATCGCAAACTTTAATGCTTTATTGCTTGTGTAAGTTTGAGAGCTTATGACCTTGGACGTATAGGGCCGTATAGGGTTGAGAGTTTCAGAAACCCCGCCTTCACTCATGACTAGCCTGCTCAAAACCTTGGGCAGGCTCACTTGCGGAGAATTCTAAACTTCTGCAAGGGAAGTGTTTCATCAAACGAGCATGCTGACCTGCCTCCGGGAGTGGTGGCCTGCTCCGCCTTTCGTAGACTTTATGAAAACACTGGGGGATCCGACGTGCCTTGGGAAGGACGGACGAATGTGAGGAGATATGAGGAGGTATGTCTGGAGAGAGTTGGGCCGAGGGCTGCAGATTCCTGTGCAGAGCCCCACAAAAACTTGCGGGGCTCCCGGTTCCAACACAATGTAACACAGCACCTTCGCGTACGCAAATCCGTCGTCGCGCATTTTGCTGCATTTTGCCCAGGGCATCCATGCCGCACGATAAGAACGTCCATGTTACCAGTGCGTCCCCCAGAGCATCGATCCATGCCTGCACCGTCCGTGTTGCCGGTGCGCTCACTGCCCAGAGTATGCCATATTGCCAGTGGGTCATACATGGGCCCTTCTTGACACACTACATACATGTACTTCGCAGGATCGGATGGGATCGGGATCCAAGATCTTGTAGATAACCGCGCTCGAAACCCCACTCGAAACCTCTGTCACAACAAGCACCTGAAGCCACAACCACTGCAAATTCCAGGAGATTCCTTCTGAGGAAGTGTGCCCGACGGCTTTTCGTGGTTTGGGGAAGTTCATGGGTTTAAGGCAGCTCTGAAATCCATGAGATGAAATCATGGAGCCACCAACTGTAGCCCGCTTGAACCACTTGAGCCCCCAAAGGCCCTCTATAAGCAAACGGGTTGTGAAGGACCCAAAAACCCTCATCCCTAATTAAACCTAAACGGACCTAAACCCTGAAGGACCACAGCCCTGAAAGGGCCTCGGCTAGGTTTGCTCGAAGTTCGGCTCGCTTTGTCTTCAGAGCGAGTGCCTTTCGGCTTTCAGAGGCTGGACTTCTGCGTGCCCTCTTGCATGCTTGGATTCACTGGGCTTGCAAGGCCTCCAGGCTTCTCGGAAATCGCCTGTAGCCGTACTTGAAACCGCTGGAGCCCTAAACCCAAGCGAGACTCACCCTGCCTCGGCTGGCAGCCGTTTCTCGGCTCACTGTGCGTCGGGAGCCAAGGCCTTTCGAATTCAGATGCTTGAAGTGCAAGCTTTGCGCACGTTTGGGCGCTGAAAAGAATGTCTGGGATTCACCGGGCTGGCCTCTAGGCTTCTTGGAATTTGGGCCTCTGTTTTTTGGAACCTTCCGGCCCCCGGATGCTTCAAGAGCTGGATTGGGACTTCCGGGATGAAGCTTGTTTCGTTGACCTGGTGACGATGCATCCTTCCATAGACCATTGATAGACCATTGCTATGTCATGCAACTTGTACTTGCTTAAGTGCATGATGACGAATCAATCGCCCTGTACACTTCCGGCATTTTGGAATGCTGCGTCGAGGAACAAGCGGGTGATGTAGTGCAATTGGTCCGCAGGTACATCGACTGATCTCTTGTTCCGTGGGCAAGCTCAACCCAGCCTTTGGCAGACATTTTGCAGCGCCGGCATCACTGAATTGAGTTGGCAGGTTGTAGCTGCATGCAATTCTTGGATGTGAGTTTGGAAGTCATGCTTGGATTCTGCACAACCAGCCACGAAAAATCACGCAAACTATTCTCCGGTTTGATCCCTGCTTACAGCATTCACCCTCCGGCGGCTTTCAAATCAGTCGGAGGGCATTTGTGATGTGAAGGTCGCAATCGTTTCCAAAGTGATGCGAAGCACTAGCTGCTTTGATCGGCTCATTCCGCAATGTTTCAAAGGCAACGCAAATCGAAAGACATCTCTCGAATTTGAAAGTTCCTTCAACAGGGGGCTTCAAGCCGTCATGGCTCAGGGCAGAGGTCGACAAGCTCCTGTCTCTGTTGAGCTGTTCCGAATGTGTGTTTGGGGTCTCTGTCGGGTCGTTTGGCAAAAGGTTCCGACGGCGCTCTGCGGAGACCTGGGCCATGATGGGATTGGATTGGTTGAGGATGGGACCAAAAGATGCTTTATGCATCTCATACCTGTGCAGATGTGGGTTGCGCTACACACGCGATCTATGAAAAGCAGTGTGCACTCAGCACTAAGCCGTTTACATGGCCGACCCCTGAATGAGTTCTGTGAACGGATGTAAGATGTAAGAGCTGCGTGTCGCGACAGGCTTGAGCATCCTTTCCGAAGTAGCATTAGGAAATGGACCGCCGACTTCCGGGATGCTTGAACTTCGAGGTTTGGATCGCTGGTTTGGGTACCTCAACACCGATTCATTCCAGGAGTGCGCTAGCAAAGTGGTCCAGGCTTATGGTCAAGGCTTAATCCAAAGAAAGCCCAGAAGGAAGAGCAAAGAGCCCCCCAAATCCCCGGCCTCGGCTGGAACTCGCTTCTCGGTTCACTTCGCCATCGGAGCCTGTGCGTATCGGGGCACTTTCAGCATTCAGAAGCTTGAGTTTTTTCATTCGGGGGGGCAGGGGGGGGAAGGGGGAAGGGGGAGGGGGGCAGTCTACAATGAGTCTCAACAGGGCTTCTAGCGTCTAGGAGCAACGGGCCCTCTTAGTGCACTGGGTGTAGGGTTCAAGGGGCTTAGGCAGGGCCCAGTGCGGGCGATGTCGTCTAAGTCTGCTGCAGAAGCTCAAGAGGTTCGGAAACAGGGGGTCTCCAGGCATCACAATTCCGCTTTACCCTCTGGACTCTAAACGCCACAAGAACGGCTTGGAGCTCTAAGTAGAGGGTTTTACCTCACAAGGTAATTAGATCAATGATCCTTCTCATGCCCTACTTGAAGTTCCGGAGTGCATGCCGGCACGCAATACCACTTCCTCAGGGTGCCATAGACCAGCCGTCGATCACAGGGGAGCACTTCTCCAGTGTCTGGATGGCAGTGGTCGTTGGAACCTGGACTTGGGTATGCGCCTGTCATAACAGCGACGTGAAAACAACTTACCGCACGCCCGCTTACCGTATGTGTGAGGCAAGCAACGCAATTACATCAGGGGGGCTGGGGCCGCAAAACTCATTTGCATGGCAGCGGCGACGTGGAGTTGCTCCAGTCGCGGAACTACAGCAGTCGGGGATGCAATTCTGGGCGGCCGTTGGGTGACAGGGTCGGGCACATGCCTTTGCAGCAGCAATAAAGATGGGTGTCTGCCTCTTGTGGAAGGGTCAACGAAAGGAATGGACTCCTTGCATGTCAAGGCTCAGCAGAAACACTCGGACTGGCGGATGCTAAAGTTGGACCTCAGGGAGGGTTGAGGTTCGTTCCACCACGGCCCGTCTCTAAATGTCTGCACACGGTTGGCACCTGAAACAGGGGGTCTCAGACCCAGACCACGGCAACCTGAACAATGCAGGTGTGGAGAAACTTCTACACGCTGAGTAAACCCATCAAGCCCCTTCGCGGCACGGTTGAGGGCTTAGGATTTAGGGTGTAGGGGTTCTTCGAGCTCAGGCTTTTGGGCCTGGGTCAGGTTCAGCCACCTGGTCATTCCACGTGGTGACGCGGCGAAGTACCGGTAAAGAAGCTGCAGAGCACTGCGAGTAGTCTTCGTTCTTGCTCCCTCCGAATGACTAAGAGTTCCAAAAGCCCCATGACAACAGCACACAGTATTAACATGCCGCCTGCGAGACTGCAAAACTAGTTCTCGAAGGGATTGCACAACCCTCATCCCTCAACCCTCACATCTTGGGCTTAGATGCAACTGCCGCGGAAGCTCCACCACCTCCTCTACGAGGTCGATTCCTTGAACCCAGCTCTCAGAAGTTGAATCTAAAGTGCCTTTTACAGGGTTTCGGGTTCAAGGGTGTAGGATACAGGGCGAGGGGGTTTGAGGGTTCCTCCAACCTGCATAAGGGCTGCCAGACCATGTCATACTGTAGCCGAGGTTTGGTGTTGGGAGAGCTTCCAGCAAATGCGTTTGGCACATGAATTCACGAGGTGAGGCAAGTTAGGAAAGGGATCAGCAGTGGGGCGCCATGAGCGGTTTCGGAGGGGAGTTTGTAACAATGTCAGGTTGTGAGCACTGGCATGCGCAAACTGAAGGGTTGTACAGAAGTTCAGGCTAAACGATTCAGCCACACCAATGTGCTCTTGGCAACTTGGCACATTTTAGGGTTTATGGAGCTCAGGGTCTAGGGTTTAGGGTTGGCATCTACGTCCCGGAGCAAATGTCTGGCAAAGAGGCTTTCAAAGGGTTGGTTGTTCTCTTGTGGAACTCGGGGCCACTGAAAAATGAAAAACCAAGACTCCAACATAGACCTGCGCGATGGTCAGCGCGGCCAGTGGAAGGCCGACGCTATACGCTCCGACCTGTACAGCCCTCAGGTGAGTGATATCCCCCGTGTACACGCCCAAGTAGAGGAAGAAGTGGTACGCCCCGACTGCGAACTGGGACACGATCATCTGCAAGATCAGCAGTATTCCCCTGCCAAGGGCTTTCAGGGATTTGGGGATTGATGGCGTGGAAGCTTCGGCTGCATGGCGAGGATCGGGGTTAGGAGCTAGACTCAGGGTTTAGGTGTTCGGATACTGCAGACTGTGCCCATGCCATGCATCAAATCGCTTGCGCATCTGACCGAACGGAGAATGAAAGTAGGAGGGGCGCGTAGCCCCAAAACCACAAGCACCGGAATGCTAAGGCTTCTTAGAGCCTCAGAACTCGGGCAGGGATTCGAGCTGAAAAGGGTTGAGGGGGTTGATCAACCCGAACCCGAACTTGAGAGGCAAGTGGGCGGATGTTGACAATATTCAAACCCGAAATGGGCTATAGCTTGGAGCAGCCTTGATGACCATTCTACTCTCCACCGAACGATCTATACTGGGAATACTGCGGGGGCCTCATGCAACCCCACTTTTGAAGATTCAAGACAAAAGGCAGCAAAAGACTGTAGCTGGCACGTACTGCATCAGCATGGATGCTGCCAAAGAGCACTCTGACCGGCATGATCTGCAAGCCGCGATTGTTCTCAAGGTCATCACGGAGGAAAGCCGCAATCCTGGTTTGAGGTTTGGGGCTCAGGATTTGGGGTTTAGGATCGGAAGTTCTAAGAGTCCTGTTGGATTTTAGAGAGCCGAGTGGCGCCCACCCTTCAAGATGTTTCCCTGCAAATCTTATGGTTCGTGTTTTGGCATTCTATGCATAGGTGGTTCTGGGCAATGCGTGTACAAGCACACCAAGAAATTTAGGAAGCCATTCCATCATAACTGCATATGCAAACAAAGGAAGAGGTGTAATCTCGCTTGAGCCTGCAATAGAATCGAACCTTTGATTGATGCCTGCAACCTTACCGCAACCAAGACTAGACCGCAAAGTTGCTTCCAAGGTTCTCGTAAGTGCACCACAAGCCTTTGCTGAGCGCGGGAAACCGCCACAGTTTGAGACGAAAACAGCCAAGAACTCGACGAAGAACATGGAGATCGGCGCGGTTGCGTGATTTTTGTTAAGGGGAGCTACAAGAAGATTGTTGTCTTGAACCCTAAACCCAAACCCGAAAGCCGCAAAACTCATCACAGCAACCCCATGAACCGCAGAAAGCCGAGCAGCGAGTGAGGTAGCGGGAAGACCAGAGAACAGTCAGCGTTTTCGATCGAACGATGAAACCTGTCATTGACTTAATTCAATTGGGGCTTTAAGTTTAAGGCTTTAAGGATTAGGCGTACAGTAAGTAAGTGTACGTTTACGTTCAGGGGCTTCTGCAAGCAGGAAAGACTTGAGCCAAGATGAACCCATCACGTAGACATCCACGTCAAGCAAAGAGAGCTTGAACGACTACGGGTTTACGGTTCAGAGTTCAACTTAGCTGCACACAGCCTGGACTAGGGTGATGCAGAGCCCAAGAGAAAGAATCCAACGTTCCAGCTATATACCTTGTGAACTCTTGTGAAAGCAACACACCATGAGGCTTTGAAGTTCACAGTTCCAGGTCAGGAGGAGTGAGTCGCACAAATTTTGTTCGAACTGCGCAGCAAGCGATTGAGTGTGCACCTTGAGCATGCGTACACCCACCCAGAGCAAGCGCAGCTACACCCTGAAACCCTTGCAGCTGGAGTTGTAGCGATGACCTGTGAACAAGAACTGGCCGGGCCATTATCTAAGATTGCTCTTGGTCCAGACAGACATGGGGTGCGTGCGGCGTGTACATCTGGACTTGCACAACGCAGCTGACATTATGAGCCGGTTGACTCTGAGACCCTAGAAAACCCCCCATTTCATTGGGCACAGTGGCCCGCCAGCCCTTTGATGCCCTTCTCTTTCAGCTCGAGGTCATGCCTGGGCTGCGTGAATTCGTTTAGGGTGGAGGGTTTAGGGTTTAATGGTTGAAGGGTTTAAGGGTTAGGGTTTAGGGTTTAGAGACGAACAGCCCAAACGAAACCATGATACATCATGATACCGGTGAGCTACTAGCTGGCTACTGAAATAGGATCCTCAACCCTTGAAGCGGTTGCAAACCACCGTTTGCCGTACGACTTCTCTCCAAATCCCAAAACCCTGATACCGGTCCCTTAAGGGACGACTGGAAATCCCATGTCCAACCCTTGAACCTCAACTAAAGCCAGCATCCTGAACACCTCAGAGACTTAAACCCTGAAAAACCAAACCCCAAAAACTCTCAACTCTGAGACTCCCCTCCACGCTCCACACGCTCTACACTCTCTACACTCTCTACACCCCTCTACACCCTCTACACCCTCTGCACCCTCTACACCCTCTACACTCATTGACCCCCTCCCTCTGCACACTTTGAACCCCCTAAGGCGTGGTTCAAGGATTCTCCCTTTTGCTTAGGCTATTGCTTAGGGTCTAGGGCTTGTGTTCGGGGCTTCGGGCTTGAGGGCGATTTTATGCAAAATATCGACACGACTCTACCACCCCCCCCCCCCCTCCTAATAAGATTCAAGACTCCCATTCTAGATACACACACGAATGAAAGATTGTCTTTGGATGGCAGAGGGATGGCAAATGCATAACACGACCTGAGACGGAAAGCTGAGCTAACAAGAAAGGGGAATAAAGATTAAACGTTGAACAATAACATGGTGCTCGTACCCATTATATAGGAAATCGGTAGAACCCTTACACCAAGCACCCTCAAACAGCTAAAAAGAAAATGATCAGTACCTGTCTTGGTACTACCCGTTCAAAGTGGATTTACACAACAACAGTTCAACCGTGGTCTCTAGCAAAGAACTTAACCAGAAAAAGGGCTACGTAGAGGAAACAATTCATGGTAATTCCGCTTACTAGGCCAACAGAATGAAACAAGAACCCAAACAAGTTCAAGTGCAAGCAAGACTTTGAAAAAGCCGAAGATTAGGACCTTACGTGTCCAGTTGCCTCTTCTCGTTCCGGCTTAAACCTACCGTCACATGACGCGAGGGGTTGGCGAATGGTTCCTACGCGTTTCAGGGATCTAAAGGTTGAAGGAGTCGGACATACTCAGTCAAGGCGCTGGGCGATGCAGAGCTTGTCCAGAAACACAAGCCTTTAGGCACTTGATTTGTTGGAGGCTCAGGGTTTAGGGCTTACTGTTTGCAGATGTTTACAGTTTAGATTCAGGGTTTTGGGTTTAGGGTTCAGCGTCTCAAAGTTCAAGCATTCACTAGTTTAGCAGCTTTGCAGGTGCCTGAACAGTACCCACCCAGAGGATCCCATACCATTTAGAAATTCAAGAGTTTCACACACAACCCAAACCCTAAGTTGGGGCCCTTGTGGGGGGCCTCGTGGGGGTCCTTTGTGGGGTGCTGTGGCAACGTTGGGGACCTTGTGATGACCTTGCGGGGGACCTCGTTGGGGAACTTGTGGTGACCTTCTTGGGGACCGTTTGGGGGACCTTTGTAGCACAATGACGTAAAACGAGCGGGAAGGTCATGAGATTAGCAGGCAAGGTCATAACAAAGTCATGGGACCTTGTAGTAACTGGTAATGACCTTGCCCGTTTTTTTGACCTTGTAGTGACCTTGTATGCACCTTGTAGTGACCTTGCCCGCAAAGTTATTCACATGTACGCGATATATGTAAGAGTGGTTTAGGGTGGCTGCTTGGCTCGCATTGGATTTTGGGCCTGAGGGAGTTGGGAGAAATATAGGAAGCCTTAGCAAGCCCCGCAGTGGAAAGAAACGAGCATGCATTCTTTAGAGAAGCCCCTCCTAATCTCCCTTTCCAAGCCGTTCGTGGCCACTTGCGGCTCATGCAAAACCGTTCCCAGGGTCGAGTAGCACCGGCTTGCAGAACCAGCTTCGAATGACGTGGCCATAGAACCTGGGCCAGGCTGCCGGCTGTAGGGTGTCGGGTTTAGGGCGTAGGGTTTAGGGTTTAGGGTTTAGGATTTAGGGCTTCGGGTTTAGGGCTTAGGGTTTAGGGTTTAGGGTTCCTGCTTGGGGAAGGGTTGCTTGAAGAATGTGTGGAGATAAGCCAGTGGACATACGTGTATTGTGATCCCGCGTCAGTTTGCCATCCGATCAAGAATTTTTCAAAAGCAGGGTCCAAACCCTAAGAAAACACGGCTTAGAGGTTAGGATTGAAGTTAGGGCCACCAACCTTCAAATCTTTAAGGCCTCCATCGCCTAACTCCCCTTCCCCCCTGCAGCCCCCCCACCCCCCACCCCCCCTGCCCAGCAACCAACCCCCAGGCTTGCGGCCCTGTTAGACTTTATATGGCTTCAATACACTCCCTGCCCTATAAGCAAAGGTTCCCAGCGCAAACCTGACTTGAAGCCAAAAGAGCCGAGAAATGAAGGGCGTCTGTTTTGCAGATTGCGGTCTGCAGCATTCTACTGTAACTGCAAGCCCTCCATTGCTTCTTAAAGTTTGGCTCCGTGCTCTTTAGGAGTAAAATTTGAAAATCATGACGGATGTGATGGCTAATCATGGCTAATCCCGCTCGCGAGATCGGGATGCATGTGAAGGGGGCTTGGCACGACTTGGCACGACCAGCCCCGCTCATTTAACTTTGCCCCGAGGCACAGAAAGATGTACCACACCGCCAGAGGCACAGAAGCGGTCCAGGGCTCGACAACTCGTTCGTCACCAACCTCAGCAAGGGCATTTTCTTCGGGCCTTGGGGGCTTTTAGCTTCTCAGGGCTTGAGGGGCCTGTTTCGGTCAACAACAAAAAGCATCTCCGGCTGTTGGACTGACCCAATTTCACATAGCTTGGGAGCTGGCACCCGTGAATCTGGAGGCAGCTCGTGTTCAGGGTCATTGCGTTCAGAGCTAGAGCAAGAAAACAGGATGTAGGGTTTAGGGCCTTTAGGGTATCAGGGAGACATTATGAACACGAGGTGGGCTATGGTGTGCTATTGAGTGATAATGGTACCCCAATGATCGCACAAATTTCCAGAGCAGGACGCTACCAAGCTTGCCAATCGATACATCTCCCTCGCTGTCATCACAGCGCTGGCGCAGAAACCTCGAACACACAGCACGGAGGTATACGGAGGTCGTCACAAGTGCAAGTTTGAGTTGTGACGTTCTGGACTCCACAATTTTGGAGCTTGCAATGGAAAGACATACGAAGGGCCCTTCGAACCTTTAGGCCTTCGGGAGCTTTCAACGGACTTGCCGCCAAGCCAAAATAGATGGTCTTGAAGATGTCTTGAAGCACACGAACTTGAAGCGTGTGCGCGTGCCGTGTGATTGCTGCAGCGTGATTGCGCGCGCGGGGCGTGATTTGTGCTTGCGTGTGCGATGTGATTGCATGTGCGTTGTGATATGTTGCGATTGTGCCATGCCTGCCACGCGTGCCACGCGTGCCACGCGTGCTCTGCGTGCACTGTGTGCCCTGCGTACCTGGCGTGCCTGCGTGCGTGCCTGCGCGGGTGTGCTGGTGTTCGGGGAACGGGGGTGGAGGAAATAGGGGTTCGCGGCCAAGTCAATCAAGCAGGCTGATGAAAAGCCAGGCAGCAAGCGAGCATTGCTGGCTTTGTGTTGAATAAGAGGATGAGGGTGATATACTTGGTCCAGCGGGATGTTTGCCAGTCCTGGAAGCACCCAAAAAACACGAAACGGAGCATGTTTTTGGAAGCGCGAAACATACAATAACTATTGCTTGGTGGGATACAAAAACCACAGAGGTGCAAGATGTAAATGAGGTCCCCCTCTCTGGCTTCACAACGCCTGTGGATTGAGAACCCGCTGCAAGTCACTCAGGGATGCGCTGCCCGATGCTACAACAGCAACTCTAGTGAAGCTGAGTGTCGTGGCTGAGGAAATGATCCAGCTCTTCTGTTGGCTTGCTGAGGTCGTAGCTCCTCAGCCGTTTGGTCTAGGTTGGTCTCTTTCGGCTGTGACTGATGTGTAAATGTATCTTAAAAACATGACAATGTAATACTACAATGATATAGATCATGTCATGGTATGATGAATATTCGAACAATAACTCTATGAATATATTCATCTATGAAGATATTGTTACTATGACAATATAACAAAAAAAATTAAAAGTAAACGCTTGCGCACGCGGGGTGGGGGGGGTTGGGGGGGGGGGGGGGGTGTTTTGGGCGCTTCTTTGTCAACCCATCAGGGGGGGGTGGGGGGGGGGGGGGGGGGGGGGGGGGGGGGGGGGGGGGTGGGGGTGGGGGTGGGGGTGGGGGTGGGGGGGCGAGGGGGGATGGTTTTGGGCGCTTCTTTGTCAACCCTCCATCATCGGTTTGCAGCTCCACAAAATTTTGCTTGGGGGGAAGGGTTGGGTTAGGGGGAAGGAGGCCTGATCCAGGTCTGCTTGCTCCAAACGCTTCTCGGCAGGAAGCCGAGGCGAATACAATATACCAATAAACATAAAATCGTGTAATAATTGAAGTAAAACAACGATTCAAAAAATAAGAACAAGCATAAGCATATCAGCATCAGACTATAAGTATCTAGCGCCAACTCATGCAGGCTACGATCATAAGCCTGATGCGCAACAGCCTACTTAGCAACAAGTGTTGAACCCCAGTTGCAGTTTGGGTGTGACGTCCCTTCGCAGGAAATCAAGCTCGAAACCTCCCAAACACAACACCAAAACCCTTCCCATAAAAACCTCTGATGTGTTGTATGGAAATCATACGAAAGTTGGTACAGGTTCCTGTTGTCGTCGAGGGTCTTCTCTGCCTCAAGTGTCCCGGACCTTCCACTTCCTGCATCTGCCCAATGCCGTCCAAAACCAGCCAGGGCCGTGGCAAGCTCAATACCTGGTCTGCTCCAATTTTGCTCCGGTTGAAAGGCCGGAAGAATCTTACAGTAATGGATTACCTTAAGTGCTTCTACAGACATACGTCCTAACTGCACGTAGTACGCAAGTATGCATGTATCATGCGTAAATGTGTACGTGTGTCGGGCGAACTCCCGCGCATGTCTCGCTTTCCACAGACACCTAGTTCGCGCCAACCCGGCTAGCCCGATACATCTGATTCCTACTAGTTTTTGAAAGGTATGCACACCGCCGCCAACAAAACTTTCAGGTAGGTCTTCAATTTGAAGGCTGCTGACATCCCGCGGCTGAAGCTAACTGCACATCCATGGTCTAAACATGTGCTACTTGAAGACCGGGAATGATGTAGTCTCTGTAAGGCCATGCAGGTTATCCTACTTCTCATTGACATGTGCTTAGTTTCTGTATAGTCGCCCCCCCCCCCCCCCCCCCGCGTGGACAGCTTGAAACTCTGCGGGCCCGCGAGCAAAATGGCCAGGGGCTGAGGGCGGAAGGGAGGGAGGCCCCGCGAAAGTCCGGACCAGAACGCAAAGAACTGGCGACATGGTGCTTCTCGGGGACTGGATTAAAGGCTCTGGGACATGACTTGATTCTGGCACTTGAGTATTCACAACGTAAAACGAAGCGAGCGAAGACATTCGTTGGTTCAAGATGTTTCAGCTGTGATCCCAAGCTCCGTCTTGGGCAAACATGCAAAGAAGCAACGAAGCTAAGAACAACAACAATCTAGCCGCAAACACGGCTCACTTCCTAAGCTCGGACCTCTGCGCTTGGGAAATGAGCTTCAATATCAATGCTTTGCCGAGCCAATGTATTGCCGAGCCTTCCAAACCTTGACAGACGCAACTGGACCGGCAGAAAGCGATTCAACATCTCATCCCTGAACAATAAACCACATCTATTCAGCATCGAAACCCCAAGCAATCCATTTTGTCTTGAGCGAAGAGGATCTCCTGTCTGTTTAAGGCGAACCCAAACCATGAACCGAAATCCACATATCCAAGCTGCCTCTTAGGAGATCAGCCTCGAGCTCTGACGGGAGGTGCACGACAGGCGCCCCCACTTTCTCCTGTTTAGGGTTAAGCGGGCGGTTCGGAGGCTGGGGGCGGGGCTAGAAGGCTTGAAAGGCAAGTTCTAGGAGCTTGGGGGTAGAATGGGGTAGATCTTCAGCACGTGGCACTCCTCATCTGAATTATGATCTCACTTGCTTCTCTTCTTCGTGCTGGAACTTCCATCATTTCACTCGTGCTACCTGATGCAGTTCGAACGTTAAGGAGCAACAACACAAAGTCATGTTGTTAAAATAGAAGGACAATGAATTTCATTTCCTTTGATGAACAAGCTCATGGCTCATGAAACTAAAGCCATGAGAATTGGATGATGACATTTGTCCGTGTCGAGAGGACTAAACAACTAAGTTGCTGTAGTACTGAGTACTGGGAAAGATGCTGCATGAATATATGTTTTTTTACATCGGTTCGCAAGTAAACATCGCAAACAACAAAGCATACAAAGCAGTACAGGCCGGGACTTTAGTAGGCCATGGAATGCAAAAACAAAAAAGTAGCAACCGGTAGCATTCTTTGTGCATTGCTTCAACACATGATTTGCGCAGACCGTTCATGATTGATCCTGCTAAGGCACCCCGGTTGTTCTTGTGTCTGTGGGGGCTTGATGGAAGCCGTACGCACTCCCTATGAACCTTTTTGAACACTCCTCCGGGAGCTTCAAGAGACACCCCAAGTCATGGCTGAATATTCTTGGGCCGTACTGCTCCAACCCTGTGCCAGGACCTTCTCTGGACAGCAGGGTACCCAGCACCGCGAAGATTCTTAGGTTGCTTGAATAGGCAAATTCGCCCCCGCTCCCGATGTCAGCGGCTGAGCCGGAGGCTTTTAAGTTTCGGATCTGGGCTTCATTTTGACGCTAGGCTTCGGAGCACAGCCTCAGGCACAGTCTCTCTTGAGCCAGCTTAAAGGACAACTAGCGAAAAAGAGCAGATGCTACTGACATGCACTTAGCGATTGCTTTGGGGACAGAAAATGCCGTCTGAGCATGTTACATTGAGGAAGTGTCCGGTGTTAAGGCCTGCAGGAAGGCTTCTTCAGCAAAGCTAAAGGCACGCCTCATCAGGCTCCAGCAGCTCTTCTGGCAGCGCTGGTTGAGGGACCATCTCGCACTACCCGGATCCCTCTCGCTTTGTTGGTCGACAAGAGCCGGTGTCAGATTGCTATTCACATGGAGCCCTTGTCCACTTCAGCTTTCGAAGTTCTCAATTGAATAGTGATAGTTGCCACTACCACCAAGATCTGCCAGAGGCGCTTTCGCTCGGGCTTGCGCCGAAAGCTGCCTGCACCTAGGACACATCCAAAAGAAAACTGTGGGCTGCGAACAGGGATCGCCATCCGAGACTGTCGCAGACCTTGCGTGCACTGCCATCCAGTCAGGCACTCGGGCATTGGCAGCACAGTTCCAAAATGGGGGCGGCATGTATTTTCATTGCGCCGCTACTCAAATCCGTCTGAAAACTTGCACATCGTCTGCTTTGCAGGGATGGCAGCAGCATTCGAGACCCTCAGCGCTCTGCTGCTAAGGGGCAATTCCTAACAGAGTCCAGGACAAGCAGCTCCAGGGTCCACGGGGGTCCTCATCTCAAAACTCTTCGCTGTGCAACCGGGGCTCCTTTCAGAAACAAGGACGATCGTAAACATGCTCTGACGGAACTGAAACCCCAAGTCAAAGCCACGTCCCTTGCCTTGCAAACCCATCCAGTGCCAGCTTGGTTCTCCGAAGCCCAGCCCCAACAGCAACCCAGCAGATTCAGGGACCCAATGAGGACTTCTTGGGTTGAGGGTCTAGGAGTTGCGCAGATCACGCGATGGGAAACAGCGACTGCGAAAATCGCGGGAAGGCCGGAAGCCGGCGTGCCGGGTTGCGTGTACGGCGCTCGCGCTGGGCATGTGCTGAGCACTTTAGGGCCAGATTGTTGCCGTTGGCGCATGAGAACGAAGCCTGGTTTGTCGACATGCGAACCTGGAAAAGCGAATGTCTGCCAGGATCAATTCACCTCCGTCTTTCTATCGAGCACTTCCAGCTCCTGCCTCCGGCGGCAGGAAGTTCTCCACAACCATACTTGGCGGGGCATCCTTGCGGAGAACGCTGAAATCACAGTAGCTGTGATTGCATGTTGTCGTTTGTGGGCTCTTTGTTTCGAATGCTTCTGCATGCTTCATGGCTTGAAAATTCGACGGAGCCGCTGTGATGCAAACAAGCGTGTGCACTCACCCTCACTCCACCCCATCGTGAACTTCAAAAACTCCTGCCTCTGGCGACAGGCAGTTCTCCACAACCATATCACTGGGCGGGGCATCCTTGCGGATTGCTGAAAGCGCAGTAGCTGTGACTGCCTGTTGTCGTTTAAGAGCTCTTTGTTGTGCATGCTTCTGCGTGCTTCATGGCTTGGAAATTCGACAGAGCCGCTGTGATGCAAACAAGCGTGTGCACTCACCCTCATTCCACCTTAGCGTGAACTTCAAAAACTCCTGCCTCTGGCGAAAGGAAGTTCTCCACAACCATACTTGGCGGGGCATCCTTGCAGAGAACGCTGAAATCACCGTAGCTGTGATTGCATGTTGTCGTTCGTGAGCTCTTTGTTGCGAATGCTTCTGCATGCTTCTGGCTTGAAAATTCGACGGAGCCGCTGTGATGGTGCACTCACCCTCACTCCACCCCATCGTGAACTTCAAAAACTCCTGCCTCTGGCGACAGGCAGTTCTCCACAACCATATCACTGGGCGGGGGCTCCTCGCAGAACGCTGAAATCACATTGGCCACAGTGCATGTTTAAGTCAAGCGCCTGCCTCTGGCGGCTCTGGTGGCAGGAAGTATTCGACAACCATCTCACTCGGCGGGGCATCCTTGCAGAAGGCTGAAATCACGCTGACAGATGTGCTTGAGTGTGTGGCTGTGTGTATGTGTGTCGGTGTCTGTCTGTCTGCCTGCCTGCCTGTCTGTCGGTCTGTCTCTCTGTCTGTCCGTCTCTGTCTTTCTGTCTCTGTCTGTCTGTCTCTGTCTGTCTGTCTCTCTGTCTGTCTGTCTCTGTCTGTCTCTGTCTTTCTGCCTCTGTCTCTGTCTGTCTGTCTGTCTCTGTCTCTCTGAAAGTCTGTCTGTCTCTGTCTGTCTGTCTATCTCTGTCTGTCTGTCTGTCTCTGACTGTCTATCTGTCTCTGTCTGTGTGTCTATCTGTCTCTCTGTCTCTGTCTCTGTCTCTGTCTCTGTCTCTGTCTCTGTCTCTGTCTCTGTCTCTGTCTCTGTCTCTGTCTCTGTCTCTGTCTCTGTCTCTGTCTCTGTCTCTGTCTCCGTCTGTCTGTCTGTCTGTGTGTCTGTGTGTCTGTGTGTGCGTCTGTGCGTCTGTGCGTCTGTGCGTCTGTGTGTCTGTGTGTCTGTGTGTCTGTGTGTCTGTGTGTCTGTGTGTCTGTGTGTGTGTCTGTCTGTCTGTCTGTCTGTCTGTCTGTCTGTCTGTCTGTCTGTCTGTCTGTCTGTCTGTCTGTCTGTCTGTCTGTCTGTCTGTCTGTCTGTCTGTCTGTCTGTCTGTCTGTCTGTCTGTCTGTCTGTCTGTCTGTCTGTCTTTCTGTCTGTCTGTCTGTCTGTCTGTCTGTCTGTCTGTCTGTCTGTCTGTCTGTCTGTCTGTCTGTCTGTCTGTCTGTCTGTCTGTCTGTCTGTCTGTCTGTCTGTCTGTCTGTCTGTCTGTCTGTCTGTCTGTCTGTCTGTCGTCTGTCTGTCTGTGTGT